TAAAAACACATGAAGAATAAATATAGTTTAAATATTTAATGGAATCTTTTAGGCGAACATTCACGTGACAGTGGAAAAGCATCAACAGGAAGAGGAAGTTGGGTTTCTGGAGTAGCTGTTATGGTATGATAATGGAATTTGGCCCTTTTAAAATCAACAAATAAGTCTTACAATTGGGTGAAACTCTCTTATTAGGAAATTGAACTACTTGTGCAGCCGTGTTATAACTACGCTTTTCATCAAAGTGCTTTTTTTGGCCCCCTAATTCAGTTATTTCATCTCTTTTTAAGTGACGTACTAGTTTGAAAGTTGACTGAAAAAAAAAAAAACCAAGAAGCCAGCTAAAATTTGGGACCAAGAGAAAATGTCATCATTAAACTGAGAAATAAAATGTGGTAAAGGAGTGAATATGTGTTTATCGCTTAACCTAACAGTCAAAAGCATTACTCTAAAGGCTAAGGTTCTGCCACTTAAAGCACAAATGGTCTAGCTCAATTCACCAACTACCACCAGGCATCTTGGATAAGCACTGCAAAGGACTCACAGAACTCAGCAAATTTACCTGCCACACTTGTACTACAAAAGTCCCTTCGGGTTTATTCTCAAATGTTTCTGGAAAATGAAATTTGAAAATACCCTAATAAAAATCAAGCCCTATGTCTTCCCCCTTATTAGTTTTAAAGCTCCTCGATATTGCTTCAGCAAGCGCCTGGGATGCTGCTAATGTCAACATTCTGGAAAATTATTAGACAATAATTAAACACTCTACAGGTCAACAGTTGAAAGAGATAAAGTTCATAAACCATCACGCACAATCTCAAAATGAAGTTCACAGCTAGACATTCCTAAGATGTAACGGTGTCTACAGAAAGACAGGCCAGGAGTAAAACTGATGAAGCACCAATAACCCAGCCGACTTCGGGCATTGACCTTCACCCAAAATGACCTTCCTCTGGTTCCAAGATTAAGTCCTGAATCCTAATGCACCCCACAGACAGGAAACCAGCCGAGGTCTGACCAGCCCCTCCTCGAGAAAAGTTTCTCTGCAGGGAAAAAAAGCTCCATTTTCAAATTCAATCAACCGGGTGACTTGGCAGCAGCCCTAGACTCACTGCAGAGCTCGAGACAACCCCCTTTCCGAATGCCAGTCAACTTCACTGGGCACAGGCAAGGAGCACCCCAGACTCCCGCGAGGTCGGGCCCAACCCAAGGAGGCTAATGAGCGAAGGGGGCGCTTCATACCCACCTGTCGGTGATAGTAGACTGTGTGCCACTCATTGGGGCCCTTGGCGAGAGGTCCTCCTTTTATCCAACTTGCATTTTACAGGAACACCTCCACCCCACCCCCCGTGCTCTGGGATCAGGCCCGACTCCGCAGGGGACACAAAAGTCCAACTCAAAACTCCATTCAGTCATCTAGAACGTCCGACGGGAAGAGGTCAAGGAGAGGGGCTGGGAACTGGAGCAAAACGAGTGATCTCCCAAAACAAACCGAGCAAGTCTGCCAGCAGGCGCGTTCTGGAGCCAGAGCTCAACCCTCCACCAGGCACGGGGAGCAAACTCGGTGGCCGAGGGCCGGCGGCCCGGGCGGGATCAGCTGGGGGCTGGGTGCCGGCTCCTCCTCCGCAGTCTCGGGGGCCTGCGAGTCCCCGCCGCGGCGGGGCCGGGCCCTCTGGTCCCCGCGCTCTATCTGGGGCTGCCGGGCGCTCGTGGCCGCAGCGTCGGCCGCGTCTCGGGCCGTCCCGCGCCGGGCTCGCGCGGCTCCATGTCCCAGGGCCCGGGCCCCCTCCTGAGCCTCCTCGCCGCCCCCACCAGGCTCTGGGCGCCGGGCCGAGCGCCGGGGGAGGGGTCCCGCGGCCGGAGGTGACAGGAACCGGGTCTCTCAGCGCCGCGGGCAGCTCCCCATCCCTCAGAGGCCCGGACGCTTCCGCAGTGGGCAGAGGCGGCGGCGGCTCCTCCCCGACGCTCCGGTGGGCGGTGGTTCCCGCGAGGGGCGGGAGGTTCCCGTCGGGCCCGGCCTGAGGCACCGGCCCGGGCGGCCGGCGGTGACGGCGACTCGGCGCGCCGGGCAGGCTCCCGGGGGCTCGGGCCGCGGCGGGAGCGCGCGCGGCGGGTGGAGGAGGCCCCGGCGCTGGGGGGCCGCGCGACAATCGCCGGCGCGCGCGCGCAGGTTCCGGTTCCGGTTCTGCCTCCCCGGCCCCAGCCGCGTCCAGCACGAGCGAGCTCGTCCCCTCCCTTCCCCTCCCCTCCCCCGCCGACTTTTTGGGCCTCCTCCCCTCTGACTTCGCGAAGCCGCCTCACCCGGGATCCCTCCGCGGCGCGCGGGGCCGCCGCGCCGCCCGCGCCGCCCTCAGCCCGCGCCCCCGCCGGCCGTCCCCGGCGCCTTCGGCGGGCGGGCGCCTCCCGCGCGCGGACCACTCCGCCGAGGCCGCGGCGGGGGCGGTTGGGGGGGCAAAAAGTAGTTCTGAGGGGCGGAGGGAAGTGGGCACCGTCCAGGCGGGAGTCCCACCCACAGACCCACCATGGCCCCCCGGGTCGGGGGATACCCGCGATCTGGTGTTTGGTTCTACCTTACATTTACCAGAGGCCGCCAAGGAGCGCCCCCCCCCACCCCAACCCGGGGGACTCCGGGATGGAGGCCCCTTGGAAATGACCGCCCCCTTGTCCTGGAAACTTTCCTTCCTTAAGGGAATGTACTTGTTCTCCTTATTTTCTGCGAACAGGTATAGACTTTATGACCGAGGCGAGCACACTCTGGTCCAAGGGCCGGGGCACCGTCCCTCTCCTCGGAGGCAACTCGCAAGAGGTTTTGGCCTCAGCCGCTCACCTGGGCACCTGCTGGGCTCATCCCCCGACAGGAGCCGCCGCGCACTTGTCCTGGCTGCCAGGGGAGGGCTGGAGGAGGACGGAGGTGTTTAGGCCTGGGGAGAGAGCCCGGGAATTGGAGCCAGGATTTCTTGTTATATTGATTTTTTTTTTATTTTTTTTTTTTTAGGCTGCTTCTGCCTTGGCAAAATGAAATGTATAATTTGCCAAATTGAGAAAGCATGGTGCTTTCCACGGCGACTTAACAAGCTTGCTGTGGAAGAAAATGGGAGAAAATAAAGTGCATTTATCCAGTAAATAGCAATACAGTTCTCTCTGCACAGCTCTCAAATTTTGCTCCGTTGTTTCCTATCTACCCGGAGATAGATTTAGATACCCCTCTCGTTTGAGGATCACGTTATTCGATATTGTAGCAATATAGGTAGCGCATACAGTATCTTTCTTCAATTCCGCCAGCAAACATCTAAAGTGGCTATTCCTGGATGCAAATGTCTTCAGATTATTGAAGCCAAACCTGTATTTTGGGTAAGGGACTTCCGCCTTTTTTTTTTTTTATGGAAATCAAGCGGCAAAGCAAATCTAATAAAAGTGGATGTGGAGGAAACAATGACCTCAGCAATGCTGTTTCTAAGTCAATCCGCAACAGTTCACGAAAGGATCATTATCCCTTAATAGATGCATGAGCTAACACTGACGTTAGAAGAGGGTAAAAAAAAAAAGAGATAAACAGAGGCCAAAGATGACTCTTTAATGCTTGATTTTTTTTTTTTTTAAGTTCAGGGCACAGCCAGCTAATTTTGTAATGTTTATTTTGGGTAAGAATAGCAGCAGATAAGGGTTCCAAACCTCTTTCCTAAGGATCAGACCAGGACACATTGCCACCTGCTGGTATATCCTGGCATAACAATTCTATCCTGAAAAATACGCTGCGTATTTTCTGTAACTGGGAAGAGCTCCATCCATCTCCATACAATGACCAAAATGCAAATTTTATCCCCAAATTTATATCTTCCTTAAACATACTAAGCGTCTGTTTGCCCTATTCGAGTACTTTTACCTGAAGGTATTAAAATAATCGGACCCAATGACTCATCAAATCATGCATTTTTAAAATGAGCTGTTCCTCTCTTCCTTTTAAAAATGCCCCAATACTTGAGCTTCAGGAATAAAACAAACTGGGAAAGTTTCCTAAATCACCTTCTCTTCCTTGCATACAAAACCTCTTGGCAGGCTGCTTTCAAGATCTTTCCAAAATTCAGCAGACCCAAAGTCCTAGCTGTGAGCAAAGAAGGCTTTTGCTGTGGGAAAGCTTCAGCAGATGCTAAGCAAAGGATTTAATTAAGCCAGTTGTTATTCATTCTAGAACATTTTTTAAGGGTGAAAATCTCTATATTCACCCACAAATCTTAAATCTAGCTAGAACACACTCCCCAGGGTCTTCACCTGGAAAAAATGGTAGCAGTGACCCTACACACTGAGGTTTTCAAAAGGGATTTAATTAAACCCCATTCTCTCAAAGCGCTTACATTGAATACCTGCCATGTGTCCAACATCATTTTCTGAAATTGGAAGTACAATTCTAGAGACCTGAAGGCCCTGTCTTCAGAGTCCAGACACTGAATCCTTTTTTTTTTTTAAGAGTTATTTATGCATACAAGAACTGGCATACAGGCCAGAGGTGCGGGGGGGTGAGAGGATTCACCAGAGACAGAGTGGGGAACAGAACAGGAGGATTGCCTGAAATACACTGCTGAGGGGAGCAGCAGGCAAGTCAGGAGAGGTCTGCTGCACCATGTGGGTAGCTCCCTGGCCGGGGATCGAACTCATGCTGCAGTGGCTATGGATAGCTTCACAGGTTGTGTCTTAACCCCCTGTGCCACGAGGGAGGTCCAGACACTGAATCCTTTTCAAGGCAACTGCCACACAGGCAAAATGAGAATGAAAGTAATTCTTCCTCTCTCTCTTTTGGCAAACTATTTTCCACATGTAGATTGTTGCCCCCACCCCACCCCCCAAGTAAATATTAGGAATGGCTGATGATAAGTAGCAGAGAAGAGGTATTTTACTGATAAGTAGAAATATGGGATAACATTTCTACAGGCCAAAAGTTTTTTTTTTTTTTTTTAACTTCTTGGCAAAACCATAACAAAAATAGAAATGCAGAGTCTGGATTGATAAAAAGTTGTTTATTTTTATAAAATATCATACAAATCTTCTTGAAATATAAATCCTTCAGTGTTAGTAATTATTACATAGTAATCCAAATGCAAATGAGTACTTCATTTTGTCTTATCCTATCACATATGAATTAGCCCTTCATTTACCTGTGATGTAAAAAGTCAGCATCTTAACTGCTGAGTCATCTTCATTTCACATTTTTCTCTCTGAGAGATTCCTTCATATTAGATACATCAAGAAAAGCTGAAAGAAGGGATTCTCTTTCCCTTATCATGGTTCAGTTTTCTTAAAATTAAAAGAACCTATGTGCTTTCTCAGGAGAGGACCCCCAAACAGCAAGATCTGCAGTCCCTTCTCTTCTAAGGAATAAGGAGCAAAGAATTGGTACCAGATGAAGCCTATTCATTTGTCTGGTATGGAACAGGTTGCACTGTGCCAAAATCCGAGAGCCAGCTTTTTCTTTTGCTCTTTTTTAGCTCCTGTGCCAAGCTACTCTTTTTCACTAGGCTTTTGCTAAAATCAGCATTCCTCAGCATCCTACTTTGACCACAGTTTTGTTGGAAAGAAGCTAACCAGCCTTTTAGGGACACTGATCATAGGGAGACAAGAGATGGAGCTGATGCTGTCAGACTATTTCCATGTCCAGCAAAACTCTTTAACCAAATGTCAGTCCTTTGAAAAGATCTACTGTTAAAATGCCTGTAAAACTGCTTTTCCCACAGCAATTCTGAATTTCTGCGGTTGCAACCACTCCCTCATGTCTGGCCAAAGACCACTCATTAGGTTAGTATTACCAGTGACCAGAGAATGGGCTGACACTTCCTACTGACCTTCAGACTTGACTTCGATGGCCCCACACACTTGCCCACCCACTGAGCTAATCAGTCACCACTGGGCTGACATCACCAAACCAACACTAACAAATATGTAAATGTATAATACTTTGTGTTATTTTTTTTTCATCAAAGCCCCACATGAAAAAAAACCCATACATCAAATGCCATATAATCTCTTTCTGAAATATGGCATATTTCATTCATTCACAACAGGGTTGAAACTGAGGCAAAGAGTAAACAAGGGACTTGCCCAAAGGGTCTGGCAAGTGAGTAGCAAAGCCAGTGAAAAGAACCCAGGAATTCTTGATTCTTAACCCCTTGGTTTAACATTCTTGCTCTTCGTAAGTGAGATTTAGAGACTATCATACTAAGAAATATTTTTTTCCTTCCATGACCAGTCTTGTCCTACTACCTTGTCCATAGTGAGTGAGATCTTTTTCAGAGAAAAAGAAAAAATAGTAAGAGGACTTAAAAGAAGTGTGTCTAAAATGGAAAAGAAAAAAATTAGCCTTGTCACCCTGAGGCCAGAACTCGCCGTAGTCTTTGGTGCTAGTTTGCAGAATGTATAGTAGAACTGAAACCTGAACTGCCATCTCAAGCACAGTGGAATCCACATGGTAAATCCCTATGGAATTTAGTCACAGCCTCTCATGCCTAGGAGATTAATGCACAAAAGCCCTGAGAACTGGCATCGTTTTCCTGGTGGGGCAGAACCCAAACAGGACTCAGTAACTCTGCCCACACCTCATTCATCTTGCACCCTAGACTGATGGTTTTTGTGCAGAAAAGAATTAACATAGCAGGCCTGAACTGCTATCCTCGGAAAGGGCTGCTTGGAAGGTCGGCTCTTGGTGGCATCTGGAAACTTAGATTTTGGGAGGGCTCCCCACATTAGCTGATTGATGACCAGTCTGCTGAGCCTAAATTGTTTGTGCAAACAATGTGGTTTATGCTGAACACCCACTTTCCTTCTGGGAGTCAGGAATTTTACTATGTGCCAGCCAGAGGCTGCCTACAGGACCAGCCCCCGATAAAAACCTTGGGTCTCTAATGAGCATTCTTGGTCGACCACATTTCACACATGTTGTCACAAATCATTGCTAGAGGGATGAAGCACACACTGTGTGATCTCACTGGGAGAGGATTCAAAAAACTCAGGCCTGGTTTCCCCTGGACTCTGCCCCAGGTGCCTTTTCCCTTTGATATTTCTTTGTATCCTTCCGCTGTAATAAATCAGAGTCCGGGAGACCCCTGACAGTTGGCATTGGGGGGCCCCACCAATGACACAGTTTTACCCCTATCCTTCTCTCATCCCTTTATCCCCCCCTTGGTTTAAGCAGATCCAAATCCCTGAGCAAATGCTCAGAATGCCAAAGAGATCTATTTTCCTGGAAGCTCCTTTTTTTTATAGTAAATGGGATGAATTTGTTTAAACTGTCCCATGAAGAGCAGAATCTACTGAAGGCATCATTTCTCAAGGGAACAAGGAAGAAATAGTGCTCATCTTTCTCAAGTCCCTTTTTAAGCTGCCTGAACATCGAGCCTCCCAGGACAAGAGAGCCCAGAAACACCACACACTAACAGGAATGCAGGAGTGCTCACCTCACAGCTCTTATTCACAGCCACCACTGAGTAGTCTTACTTTCTGTATCTGTGCCCTGGAGACGTTAGCAATTTAATACCGGCACATGCTCTGCTCCAAGGCTGACCAAACTTATCAATACATTAAACCAGCCCCCCTTTTTTTGATACCTAAGTTTGTTACAAGGGTGATTCCTTAACAGCTGTATTCCCAGTCTGGTTTCCATGGCTGACTTAACCCAATCCATTATCTGGCGCAACCCTTGTCTAGTGCGTCTTGAGATGTCCATTATGTGTTAGCTGCCGCTCCTCGCTCCACCTGCTTCTCCAGGCATGGTACTTCTTGATGCTTTTCTTCCATGCAAAGCGCCAGATGCTAACCATGAAACACCAAGACACGGCATACATTGCTATTCCCCCAACCTTCACAAACCACTTGGGCTTAGGTGAGACCATTTCACAGAAGAGGAGGCGGGCTCCCACGCCAATCCTCACTCCGGTGAACAGGGCTACAAAGAGGAAGTCCACCACGTCTCCAGTGAAACTGTGGTAGCGCCCTGTTTCACGGAGAAACCAGCGCATCTGTAGCAAGGGGTTGGTAATCTCACTTCCAAAAAGGACCGCATTGACCTCTGTGCCTGACTCACCCAGCACCAGGGCCATGATGATGCCCAGGATGCTCAGTGTGTGGTGAGCCAGCATCAGGGCACCCTCGGACTGGAAGTAGATGCACCAGCTCAAGTCGAAGATGAAGTAGCCCAAGGTGAGACATAAAACGTGCACTTGGAGAGGTGTATTGGGTGAGCCTGAAATAAACCAAGACAAAAGCAAACTGAGTGACCAGGAACTGAGCTGTCCGGCATAGGGATCCTATGTTGTCTTTCAAACCATTTTGAATCACTGAAAGTAAAATCAATGATAGATACATGAGTCTTAGTGATAACCTATTTTAGACTGAAATCTAAAATGTAGGTCTTTATCAAACCAAGCAATGTTACAGGACCCAGGAAATGCTCTTCTGATGAGTCAAATCTTAAGGAGTGATTGGGGCACCAGCAACAGTGTCTTCTGTTGATAGCACCATTCAAGCGAACTGTTTTGTTTTTTCAATGAATATTCTGCACAATTTCTTCCTTTCTTTCTTTCTCTTTCCCAGCTAGTGGTCTGTTTCTGCACTCTATTTTTTCTTCCCATTAATGGCTTAGATTAATGGACCCTGGTTGGCCCTACCCACCTTGAAAGCAGACTCTGGAAAGAAACCCATAATTGAATATGTTCCCAGTCCAAGAAGATAAGGTACAGAGACTTGACATGTTTGAATCTATTAAGAACCTTCATATAAAACACAAAGCTTAAGAATTATATTTGTATTTGCTTGACAGTTGGGGGGAAAACTTTGAAGCTTTATATGGGCATCTAAGGAAATTTTTTAAAAAAGAATCTAAAGTAATTTTTAAAAATAGTATTTTAAGGGACTTATGAACTGAATTATATCCCCCTAAATTCAAATTTTGAACTTCCAACTCCCCAGTACACCAGAATGTGACTGTATTTGGGAGCAAGGCCACTACAGAGGTAATTAAGTTAAAACGAGGTATTCAGTGTGGGCCCTAATCCAATATGACTGGTGAATATGACTTAAAGAAAAAGATTAGGATATTGACAGGCATGAAGGGAAGATTCTGTTAGGACATAGCAAGAAAGCAGCCAAAGGAGCTAAGCCTGAGAAGAAACCAGCTGGGATTGACCTTGATCCTGAACTTCTAAACTCTAGAATGGTGAGGAAATTAATTTCTGTTGTTTAAAATACCCATTCTGTGGTATATTGTCATGGTAGTCCCAGTAAACTCACTCAGGGGGATATAATTTTTGCATTCTGAGGAATACCTGCACATCTAGCAACTTAGAAATTAATATAGCTGCCAGAAATAAGAGGCATTTGTTAAGTACATGATGGAAAATGCATATAGCACAATAGCATATAACAATTTAAAAGGACAGAGAAGGTCCATTTATATAGACATCAGATGATGACACATTTTGAATATAATCAAGTAAGAATTGCAGTGTGCCAAGAGATTTGTATAACACAATTCATTTGTGTCTGGGAGTGAAGGAGGAAGATATAGATATTGGTTTCATGTTATGTATGTTTTGGTGGATTTACAATGTAATAAGCATTTATATTCTGTTTTAAAAGTAGAGCATTATGAAAAGTGCAAGTGGGGGTATATACAACATCAGCATTAACAATGAAGAAGACTCTCTCTACAAATTATAATATTAACTACTCCAATATTCTTCAATATAGTTCAGATTCTGTGAAAAAGTCCCATCCTTTTCAGACTACCCCCAAACCATTCCCTCAGGGGAAATCCTCTAATATCTCCCACCTACCTGGGTGGGTAAAAGGCCAAGGGCCATCAATGAAGCCAATATAAGCGGAGAGGCCTATAGAGAGGACTCCATGGGTGAAGGTAACCAGCCGGCAGCTCCACTCATAGCTTCGGTGCTTATTCAGGCAGCAGAAAGAACTGTAGAGCGAGAGCCAGCCCCCCAGGCTGCACAGCACCTGCAGACACAGAGCTAATGCCATCCTATGACGAAAAGACCGAAACCAGAAAAACAAAGGATGCACCCTAAGAAAATAACATCGGGTCATTACGTGTGTATTTCTATTATAGAATAGCACAAACATACTGCCTTCGCTTCTTATCTGCTGCACAGCCAAGAATCTTCCATGTAAGTGTGGCTGCGAGCTGACTCCCTGGTCCTTAGAGATAACACATCAACTGGTGAACTGAAAACCAGGAAGTGCATTCCGAGTTAGTAGTCTAATTAACATATTATTCCAATGTGTAAATGTCAGTGACAACCTCACAGCCACGGCTGACCTTGACAACTGTACATGAGTAGTGTAATACATGTATTAGACAATGTGTTCACGTTTCAAAAATCTCAATAAGAAGTTCTGCTGAAAAACACCCTCACCACTTGGGGCTCTGCTTGAGGTCAAGTGGCACACAGCAGTTTAATGTGTTTTTTTTTTTTTTTTTTTTTTTTTTTTATTTTAATGTGGTTTTAAGCTGACACTAAACTGAGCTGAAATTTGGATTTGAGTCACAGGTTCATCAGTCAATCTAAAGTTGAGGTTAACCTAAGCATAGAACTAAAAAAGATAGCTTGGAAGGGAAAAGTTAAATGAAATAAAAACTTTAGTTCGATTCAGTTCTGATAGCCAACTCAAAGACTGACCGTGGGGAAGCAGAAGGATTTTGAGGTACAAAAGAGTTTTTGTTAAGATAAAAAATATCTTAAAGGCAGTTACTTAGTTGTAAGTGCAACAGCGTCAGAAAACTACTTTAAAATTTTTACTGGTGACAAACATAGCAGGATAAGGAAGACTCTAACATTTGGTCATACCGGCCTAAAATCTAAAAATAATCACGATATTATTAATATTCATTAGCTCCTCTATTGAAAGAACAAATAAAAAAGTCAAAAACATTTCAGATATCTGCCTCATCTCAGCAGGAATTTTCTGCATGGCTACACTCCTTGCTTAACCCTCTTCTAACAAGTGAAATAGAATCTGTGGAACAACACCCTTCAATACACAAGCCACTCCCAGGAATGCTATCCAAATAGGGTTTTATGAAGGTCAAGTTCTGCAAAACTTTCATCTAAAATCAGATTTCCGGGTCTCCCTTGGTGGCACAGCGGTTGAGCGCTGGGCTGTGAAGCTGCCTGCAGTCTCTGCAGCGCTGGTTTGATCCCCAGCCGCAGGGCGAGGGTCCCACATGGCATGCAGACCTCTCCTGCCGCCCGCTGCTCCCCTCAGCAGTGTATTTAGTCAGTCTGCCTGTTCTGCTCTCCCCTCTGGCTCTGGTGAAATCTCTCACCCTCCCATGCTGCTGACTGTACCCAGTGCTTGTATAAATAAATAAATAAATAAATAAATAAATAAATAATAAATAAATAAATAAATAAATCTTTTTAAAAAATAAATAAATAAAAAATAAAATCAGATTTCCATTCAAGAAAACAGTAGTTGTGAATCACAAATCCAAGTTCCAATTCTGTCTCAGCTCTAAAGAGCGCAGAGTGTGAGGGTGGGTAAATTAACTTCTTGAGCCTCCCCATTTAAAAAAGGAAAAAAGGAAGGAAAGAAAAAAGAAAGGAAGGAGAGGGAGAGAAGAAAGAGCATTGAAAAACTCTATAATCGGGCCCCAGTTCTGACAAGGAGTTCTGAGATAAATTTTGCAAAACATCTAGGTCAATTTTCAGCGCAAGGACCAGAAATACCAAGTACCCAGAATGAAAAGAACCGTCTTCTCTTTCCTTTTAAAGGCCAGGGTCACCGGGCAGTAATGCGGATCAGCTCATTTGGATACACCGATTAGTATTTTTAGAGTCCTCTTTCCTGAATCCTAATTCCCTGGCAGAACACAGAAAACAGTAGCCCATTTACAAACACTCAAGTAATAAACATTTGTAAATGGCAGCTACAATTCTGTGACCTTGGGGAAGTCACTCCATTTCTGGGTTTCTGCTTTTCACTCGCGGGTTAAAGCAATGGCAGGGGATTTAGATGGCACTTCCAGCTCCGAATTCCAAGACTCCTGTCCTTCTCCCTCCAGTTTCAGGGCCAGATTCGGGGGGAGGAGCGCGGGGCGGGCCCACCTGGCTCTGGGTCCCCGAGCAGGCGTGGCTGGGCTTGCAGCACCCGCTCCTCTCAGGCACCGGGCGCGCATCGCCCTGGGATGTGCCTACCAACTGCCGGCCACGCCCGATTCAGGTGCACCCGCGCCGGACCTGTGTGCAGGGATCAGATCCGGCACCCGAGCCCCTAGCGGAAAGGCCTCCAGCGCCCGAGGCCCGAGGAGGTCCCCTCCGCTTAGATGTCAGGCCAAGCCATCTGCCCGCTCCTTCCCCACCTGCAGGGCCGGCAGGCCACGCGCATCCGGAGCTCAATCCGCCCGCGGGAGCAGGGCGATTCGCGCCACGCTATTACCTGGCCGAGAGCCTCGGGAAGCCTCGGCGCCCTGGCCCCAGAGCTCAGGGCCCGGATCCCGAGAGCAGGAAGCAGCGAAACGAGGGAGAGAGATGCTGACGGCTGCGGAGGAGGAGCTGGGGGTCTGGGGGCACCTGGTGGCTGGGAGGACGGAGCGCAGAGCCAGAGCTGGACCAGGGATGCTCAGGAAAGCCGGCTGGAGGGTCCACCTTGCAGGAGTGGGGCACAGGGAGTGCGGGGGGGGGGTGTAATCTAGCGGTGACGTGAGCTCTGCAGACTGTTGCTCTTGTTTGTTGTCTGTTTGAATAATTATCCATCCCGCTTCGTCCCCCTCCCTAAACTCGTTGTTGAGCACCTACTATGTGCTTGCTCCCCTACTAGGCAGTGTGGGAGATGTAAGACATACTGCCATACTTCGTGCTTGAGTCTATAAATTGTAAAACAAACAGACAAATAATTACCAGGGACGTGCTCAAACCTGGAAATTAGAAGTTATTCCTTCTCATGTCTACCCGGATGCCTTCACAGTAGGGCATAAAGGTTAAGAATAAACCTGGCTTGATTACTGTGTGTCTTTTGAGCAGTTACTTAATGTTTCTGTTCTTTCTCAATGAAAACAGCAAAAAAAAAAAAAAAAAAAGCAGGGCACTCTCATAAGGTATTTGTGAGACTTCTACACACCTCGCCACATGTAAAGTTCCTAGAACAATGACTGGCACATGGAAGTTATTATATAAATATTAAATGTTGTTACACTACCTTGGGTAAATCCTTTCTGCTCTCTAGATCTATTTTAAAGGCAAAGAAAGTAAGTTTGAAGAAATGACCAAACATAAGTATGGAGGCTCAAACAGGATAAAGGGAGCACCTGGCTTGGTTGGTCAGGACAAGCAATGACAGGGAGCTGAGGGATTCAGCTCTTAAAACAAGAAGCCCTTAAGCAGGTGTGAGCCTTAGGCCACGTCTAGAGAATAGTATTATAAATAGTCCAGCTTTTGTCATTTAGCTTGCCAACTGCTCAAGAAGAAGGATCACAGCAGTTAAGTTTTTGTTTCCTCTTACCTTATTTGAGGCAGATACTATAATTGTTTGCTGGTTGAATGAATGGATAATAAGCCTGGAAAAGGAAATTGCAAGCATATTGTGGCTCCCAAACCTTGTTGATCATCTATACCACTGGAGAAATGTCTTCAAAATATTCTTGTACAGTCTGGACCTTGAAGAGAATGATTTAGTAGGCGTAATGTGGAGCCCAGGGATCTGTATGTTTTAAAACCTGCCCAGGGGTTCATTCAGATGATCAGTCATGTTTGAGAACCACTGCAGTTAAAGCAACTTAAATGACTGCAGTGTACCTAAGATGCCAGATGGATTCATCCTATTCAGTGGATAACAAGAAACCTGTGATGTCATTTGGCAAGGGAATAATTGTATCATGTTCACCAAGCCCTTGCTACTCAAATAATTGTATCATGTTCACCAAGCCCTTGCTACTCAAAGTGTGGTCCATGGACAAGCAAAATATGCGTCACCTGAAAGTTTATTAGAAACATAATCTCAAACCCTAGGCCTGGATCTGAGTCAGAAATTGCATTTTAAAAATTATCTTGGCAGCTCTTGTCTCAAGACTACCCACCTTTGACTATGCAGGTGTCTCTTTTCACAAACCTGTCTTTTTCAAGGGCAACTCTTTCTGCTTGCTTGTGTCTGTGTGAGCATCCTTTTCCTTTTCTTATGTAATAAACCTGCCCTTTTTGGATATGAAATAAATAAATAAATAAATAAATAAATAAATAAATAAATAAATAAATAATCATCTTAACAGTGATTTATATGTACATTTGGGCAGTGGTTCTCAACCACAATAGCACAATACAACCACTTTTAAAAGTCCCAATGCCTTGGGCCTCCCCTGGTGGCGCAGCGGTTGAGCGCTGGGCTGCGAAGCTGCCCGCAGCCTCTGCAGTGCCAGTTCAATCCCCGGCCACCAGCGAGGGTCCCACATGGCGCGATAGACCTCTCCTGTCTCGCCCGCTGCTCCCCTCAGCAGTGTATTTCGTTGGTCTGCCTGTTCTGTTCCCTGCTCTGGCTCTGGTGAGTTCTCTCACCCTCCCGTGCTTCTGACTGTACCCAGTGCTTGTATAAATAAATAAATAAATAACTCTTTTTAAAAAATTAAAATTTATTAAAAAAAAAAAAAGTCCCAATGCCTTGGCCTCCCTGGTGGTGGCGCAGCGGTTGAGCGCTGGGTTGTGAAGCTGCCTGCAGCCTCTTCAGTGCCGGTTCGATCCCTGACTGCTCCCTGGCCACTGGAGGAGGGTCCTGCATGGCGCGCAGACCTCTCCTGCCACCCGCTGCTGCCCTCAGCAGTGTACTTCGGTCCTTCTGCCTGTTCTGCTCTCTGCTCTGGCTCTGGTGAATTCCCTTACCCTCCCGTGCTTCTGACTGTACCCAGTGCTTGTATAAATAAATAAAAATAAATCTTTAAAAAAATTTTAAAAAAAGGAAACTTTAAAAAAAAAAGTCCCAATGCCCAACCACATCCCAGACAAAGTAAATCAGAATCTATGTGGATATTAACCTTTTTCAAAGCTCCCTAGATGATTCCATTGTGCACCCAAAGTTGACAATCCCTGCTACTTACTCAACTGAAATCAGTGTGAGCGGAATTGGAGAAGACAATCTGTTATAAATGGGTATGAACAAACCAGATAAGAAAACATCAAATATTCCATTTCACTGAAAGGATACTATGCAAAACTCAAACTTTTCCCATCTAGTATCTGCCTGAAACTTTCTTCATGCTGCCATCATTTCCCAGCAAAGAACAGAGTATTAAAGACTTCAGGGCTCTAAAGGCTGAGGGAAAAGTGGGGGTTGGGAGGGAGGGTACCAGTTGTTTCACTGGAGCCTTTAACCTAGGGTGATTGGGATTCCAGGTTTCATTTTCTGGGATTTAATTTTATTAACTTATATATCTTTGGCCACAATTCTTGTTCTGTCAAATCGAATCCTTGTCAACAAGTGTCATTCCCCAGAAAAGTCCTGGGCTGTTAGGGAGAACAGGGGACAGGATGTCCGCCAACTTACTTGAATTACCATGACAACAACAATTAAAAGATAATGGATAACACTTATTAATGTACCAGGCATTGTTCCAAGCACTTTACATATATTAACTTGATTAATGCTCACAACTCTATGAGATGGATTCTATTGTTATTTCCATTTTACAAGTCAGAAACTGTGATGCAGAGCAGTCAAGGAGCTTGCCCAAGGTTCATGATTTATAGGACACAGATTTGGATATGAAACCCAGGCAATATGGCTCTGGAAGTCTTTTCTTCTCTGTCTGTTTGTTTTTTTTTCTTTTTTTTTTTTTTTGTGTGACATTGGTTTAAAGCCCTGTATATGATGGAAGTCATTTTCTTAACCACTATAGTGTGCTGACGGGTATAAATCAGAGCAGAACATTTGACTACAAAATGTTCTTCACTGAATGAGAATCTCCTCCAGATGTGTACTGTCTTTTTCTGTATTCACAGCTCTAAGGGCATCACTGAAGGGCATTAAAAGTGGTTTGGGGCCTCCCTTGTGGTGCAAGGGGTTAAGCACAGCACTATTTAGCTATCTGCAGCCTCTGCAGCATGAGTTTGATCCCCAGCTGGCGAGGGAGCAACCCACATGGCGCAGCGGGCCTCTTCTGTCTCGCCTGCTGCTCCCCTCAGCAGTGTATTTCAGTCAATCCACCTGTTCTGCTCCCTACTCTGTCTCTGGTGAATCCTCTCACGCACACCCCACCTCTGGCCTACACCCCAGCTCTTGTATGCATAAATAAATAAATCTTTAAAAAAATATACAACACAAACCATGGTCAAATAGAGAATCATTAAATACCTCTTCATCAATATCGTCAACTTGGCCTCCCTGGTGGCACAGCGGGTTGAGCACAGCCCTGTGAAGCTGTCCACAACTTCTGCAGCACGGGTTCGATTCCCAGCTGGCCAAGGAGATTCCCACATGGCACAGCAGACCTCTCCTGTAGCACCTACTGCTCCCATCAGCTGTGTATTTTGGTCCGTCTGCCTGTTCTGTTCCCCACTCTATCTCTGATGAATCCTCTCACTCTCCCGTGCCTCTGGCCTGTACCCCAGCTGTTATATAAATAAAAATAATAATAATAAATCTTATTTATATCATCAACTAATCTTTGACAAAGTTGCCAAGGCATTACAATGGAGAAGTAACAGTGTCTTCAACAAATTGTGGTGGGACACTGAACAAGTTAGTGCAAAAAAATGAGTCTAGTCACAGGCCTTACACCCTTCACAAAAAATGAATTCTAAATAGGTCACTGACCTAAACAAATGTAAAATGCAAAACTATAAAATTCCCAGAAGATAACATAGGAGAAAACCTAGATGACCCGAGGTAAGGTGATACTTTTTAGTTATCACACCAAAGACATGGTCCATAAAGAAATAATTGATAAGTTGGACTTCATTAAAATTAAAAACTTCTGCTCCGCAAAGAACAATATCAAGAGAATTAAAATACAAGCCACAGACTGGAAGAAAGTACTTGCAAAAGGCATATCTGATAAAGGACTGTTATAAAAAATATACAAAGAACTATTATAACACAATGATAAGAAAACAAACAACCCAATTAAAGTATGTGCCAAAGACCTTAATAGACACCTTATCAAAAAAGGCATACAGAAGGTAAATAAGCACGTGAAATGTTCCACATCATGTGTCATGAGGAACAAACAAATTAAAACAATAATAAGATACAACCACACATCTATTAGAATGGCCAAAATCTGGAACCCTGAAAACAAAAAATGCTGGCAAGGGTGTGGAGCAATAGGAACTCAGTCACTGCTGGTGGGAATGCAAAGCAGTGCAGCCACATTGGTATAGTTTGTGCTTTCTTACAAAACTAAATATACTCTTACTAAATGATCTAGCAATCATAATCTTTAATATTTAACAAAAGGAACTGAAAGTCTGTGTCCACACAAAGACCTGCACATAAATGTTTACAGAAGCTTTTTTCATAATTGCCAGAACTTGGAAGCAACCAAGATGGCCTTTAGAAGGTGAATGGGTAAAAAAAACTTTGGTATACCCAGACAATAAAATATTGCTCAGTACTAAAAAGAAATGAGCTATCAAGTCATGAAAAGACATGGAAGAAACTTAAATATATATAAATAAATGAAAGAAACCAATCTGAAAATGCAATATGATTTCAGGTATGTGATATTAGAAAAGGCAAAACCATGGAAAGAGTAAAAAGGTCAGTGGTTGCAAGATGTAGAAGGGGAGAGAGAGGAATAGGCAGAGCAGGGGATTATTAGAGTAGTGGATGTATCTGCATATTACAATAATGGATAGATGTCATTTTCTTTAAAGATTTATTTATTTATGCATACAAGAGCTGGGGTGTAGGCCAATAGTGCGGGAGGTGAAAGATTCACTAGAGACAGAGTGGGGAACAGAACAGGCAGACTGACCAAAATACACTGCTAAGGGGAACAGCAGGTGAGACAGGAGAGGTCTGCTGTGTCATGTGGGTCAACTCCTTGGCTGGGGATTGAATTCATGCTGCAGTAGCTATGGATAGCTTCATTTTGCTGACGCTTAACCCCTCACGCCACCAAGGAGGTCCTGGATAGATGTCATTTTATACTGTTTTCCAAACCTTGGCGTGTATGACACCAAGAGTGAACTCTAAGATAAATGATGGATTTGTGGTGACTCTGATGCATCAATGTGTTTTTGTCCTTGGTAAAAATCGTGATGTTGATAATGGGGGAGGTTATGCATTGTGGGGGCAGGGATATATGGGAAATCGCCAATCCTTGCCTTGCTTTCAATTTTGTTTTAAACCTAAAGCTCCCCTAAAATAATAATGTATTTTTTTAAACATCAAATGGACTAAAATCAGAGTCTTTGGGAAGAAGATCAACTTTCAGCTCTCACCTGAGCAAGACGTCAAGCCAGGCTTACTGCAGAAAAGGTCAGCCCTGGCTGAGGAGCACAGACGTGAACCCAGAGCTTGGGGTGGGGAGTAGTCCCTTTATGTACTTAAGTCACTGTTGAAGGCCACTCTTGATGTCTCTTTGCTAGATGCCTATCCCCTTTCAACTAGACCTTTTCTTGAAAAAGTAATCACTACCAATAAATAGGACATCTCCAACTTCATGACATGAAATATTAGTCATAATATAAACCCCATTTAAATATCAGGAACAATTAACTCTTGATTATTTATGTATAGATTTCTCACTTGGATATTATTATTTGCAATAAGTGTTTAATCCCAATTTTAATGCTTCCTTTCAGTCATTACGTTTTGGAAGGTCCTCCTTTTCCCACAGATGAGTATTTATCTCAGGGATAGTAACTATTTAAATTTTTATTACCCTAAAGAAAAATTAAAGGGTATAGTTTCCTTGCCCCTCAGCCTTCTCACCAAGAGTCACACTGCATTCCAAAGCTAAATATATGTAATTATTGAATTACCCTATGTCTCGAGTGTGTATTGCTTTCCATTGTAAATAATGAGTCATTGACCTTCGGGATGCCTTTGCTATCAGCTCTCAGTCCCAGCCTCTACCTTTTAAGTCTCCAAATGATTTGATCTTTAACATTTACTTTTTCTCACTTACTCAATGAGAAAATTAGTCTCTTGCCTACTCTGCTTTCAAGGTAGTTCTATCAAAGAGAACGCTGAACTCTTCAGAGCTCTGTGCTAACATATGTCATCATTAGCACCAGTTTGGGTAACAACAGACTTCATGAATCAATTTGAAATATTTTCCCCATCCTGTTTCATTATATGTATACACATCCTCTCCCTCCCACCCCTACCCCTAACAAAAGACAGAGATAATCTAAACTTCTTTTTATCAATAGTGGAATAGTTTATATTGTTACTATACAAATTTATTTAAGAACAGAGAGATTCCTTTGAATCTCAACATTTTCTTGGATATGCAGTCTTTCAAAAAAAGGTCACCATTTCTACAATGGCTTCATGTTACATCTCTACACACTGGCCCACAAAGAAGGAGAATCAACATAATGTTCCCAAAGAAGCCAACCAGGATTCCCTGCTCACGGTGGAACTCTTGTGGGAGCTAGTACAGTATTTCACACTTTGGTATTTTTTTCTTTTTTTTTTTTAAGATAAAATATTACAGAGACATCTTCAAAATTCACACCTGAGTTAAATATTTTGCTGGAAAACTCCACATTAAGAAAGGAAGAACATAATGCAAAAACAGGACAGGGTTATATACAGTATTCTGCCAGCATGATTGTTGCACATTTCTTTTTGTGTTCTTCCTTCTGCTGCCAGGAGAAGGAAGAGAGAATGAGATAAGGAGAAAGACAGAGAGAGAAGAAACAAGGATTCCTGAACTCTGGAGCCAATGTAAGCAAACAGAAGAGCACCTGTAAACAGGGAAATGTGCCCAGGGGACTGAGGCTCTCTCTGCCTTCTGAGGGGGAAAGTAAAAAAGGAATCAGGAGAATTGGTTCTAGAAAAGGGGACTAAGGAGAATGAGGTGAAATGGAGATTCAGCCAGAGAACTACTGCCCAGGGAAAACACCAAGAAGGCAACATCAGATTCAACTCTTCACAGGTTTGAGAGTCAGTTCAGAAATGGCCAAGTTCAAAGTCAAAACCATTATCTCTCCTTGCGGTGGTCTGGCACAGCAGGCAAGTGGCTGTCCCAAGAAATCCAGCATGTGAGTTGGAGAATAATGGCAAGGCATCCTTCCTCTGAAAGACTACTGCCACAGTGAAGCCATCTGAAATATTTAGAACTAGAGGCAAAGGGCACAGGCGAGGAAGGTGAAAATGGTAGACTCCTAGGAGGAGGCTTTATCTCAAGAGCACTAGGAGTCAGCACATGGTTCAATCACAGTTTGGATCTCTGAGGCCCTTGCTCCTGAAGAAGGCAAGAGTTTGGGTCATGGATAGTGGGAATTCTCTTCCACTCTTCTGAAAGCAATATGTCCATACAGAGGAAATGTGACTCCCTTCCTTCCAGTGGGGAATACAAGGCCAGGTGGAATAGGAGGAACTTTTTGGTCTCAGTGGAGGTAGGTGGGATGATTCCATCGGTACCAAGGTCTAGAAAGAAGAAACAAGTCAATCAGTAAAGCTACTAATGTGATGAGTGAATACGGGGGTGGGGAGTGGTTGCAAACAGCATCAGATTTTTTGGGGGGAAAGGTGAAAATTAGATATTCTAATTCTGGAATTAGATAATGCTGATCATTGTACAACCTTGCAAATATACTGAAAAGCATGGAATTGTACCCTCTAAAGTGGTAAATTTTATAGTATGTGAATTATATCTCAAAACAATTTTTACAAATGCATATTACATAGTTTTCTCTCTCCCCATGGGGATCTCTGAGGAGCTCCAAGTTTTTGGGCTTTCAACCATTGGCTAAGAAGAGCTGGCTGCTTTGCTGAAAGACCTGGGTTGGACAAGGTTAGGTCTTTAGCCTGTCACCTAACTTTCAGGTTTCTGCTTTCTTCTGAATCAAGGAAAAAAATCTCTCAAGGTAGTATCGTGAGAATACTTCTGGAGAAGATTCTATGGTTCATGAACTAAAGGCCAGAGGCTGCTATGCCCACTGCCTCCCAGGTGGGAGTGTGAGATGGCGGGGGGGTAGGGGGGTGCTGGTGGTGATGGGGTTAGGTAGGAGGCAACACCATTCCCGGTCTCATTGTGTTAGCCGTGCTTGAGCTCAGGCTGGCACTGGAACACCTGAGAACTGGGTTCCTGGCCTGAAGTGCAGCTCTCTTAAGCCCAGTGAAGGACCTGGCCCTTTCTGAACAGGAGTGTTTGGAAATTTCCATCCTCCATTTGGAGGATGGAAATTTTGGCTTTGTTGACATCAGTTACTTGCCAGGACTGTGCACTGGCTGAAGCTTCTCTTTTAAATCCCCCTCCCTAGGGATGAAGTCCAGTCTGGCTCTCCACTCTGTCCCCTCCCTACAACCCCATTCCGCTCATCCAACCGCGTGACCAGCTTTCTTCCCCAAGCCACTGAACCAGCCCAGCTTCCCACAAGGCCCTCGGCCCGGCTGGGGTGGCACTGTGCTCTCCTGGCCATCTTACCCTGAAGAGTTAAAACTGGAGGGGGAGTTCACTGCTGCCTTGGAGTTATTTTGAGATGCAGTGGGGCTGCTGGCATGGAGTCCTGAGCCAGGAGACGAAGGCCTGCTGTTGTTCCCAGGGGAACAGGATGACGTTACTGAGGACAAGGAGAGGCAAAAACAAGGGAAAATAATGCTGATGGGTCCTGGGACCTTGTGACATGGCCCTTTAGATGTGTATCCTCAAAGGGACCTCACCCTCTCCCTACCCCCACCCATCTGCCCACCTCCTACCCTGTCAGAATCAACACCTGTCCCCAGAGGGGCTCTCGTCATCCACGCTTTCCTCAGCCCAGGCCCTGAAGAGCAGCATGGCTGGTTCTGCAAGTCCAAGACTTGCCAAACACAAGGAGGACAGATGCCAAAATCATCTCACTGCAGGACACACCCTGAGCTGGGCACACCCAGCGCCAGCCCAAGTGATGGAGGGGGTGGGGGAGGAGCAGAGAGGAAGAAAGGAGGAAAGAGAAGTACACAGGGCAGGGCGGGAAGGAAACCAGTGGGCACAAAGGAAGACGGCCAGCTGCTCGAGCTTGCCCACTTCCACAATGGAAATGTGCACTATCTTCGAGAAAGAACACACTCAGGACCAGGAGCCCCAAGGCTCATCCAGGCCTTTTTTGAAGCAGCTGTGATTTGTGGTGACTCATCTCACTTCCCTGAAATTATTTTTGTCCTCTCTACAATGGCAGGTTCTGGTTAAACAGAATTCTTGTACTTGGGTTTCCTGAACAGTGTTCCATGGATAAGGTGACATCTATTTTACCATCCAAACTGGGTGCTGTCCATAATTATGTCAGCACAGGAGGCAGAAGCTGGTCTGCCAGTGCATTCCCAGGCATATGACCCCTAGCTGGTTCCTTAGGGAACTCTAGGAACTTGTGGAAAAATTACTTCTGTAGAAAATGACTTTGGGAAACCCTGCATTCCTCAGCCTCCCATGCAGCCCATGTAGGAAGGCATATCACACTCGAGGGCCGAGGAGTGCTGCAATGACAACAAAAACAGACACTGGTTTCAACTTTGCTTACTCGGAATTTTCCAAGAAGCCCTCCTTCACCTAGCACAGAGTTAAGTCTCCTTTGAAATACATTTAGGGAACACGGACTTAGAGGTAGGCATCCTTCAGATGTAATATCCCCTAATTTAAAGGAATTCTAGGGTTATTCAGAAACCTCATTTTAACTCTCACCTGTTCCAGGCATGGTGCTATGGACAGGTGGGACAGACAGGGTGCCCAGAGACCCAGAGGGAGAGACCTGGAAGGCAAGAGAAATTGTAAATATCCATTTCCACTCCCTTCTGGAACCTCTGGTGCTTCTCCCAGGTGCTGGGCCCCAGCCTGCTCAGCTTCCTTGGTGATTTCCTAATCCGCAGCCTACATGCATCCCCCATCACAAGATGGCCTCAGGACACTGTACAGCATCCCTCTAGCCTTGCCCTGCTCCCCAGGCTCCCAGATGCTGACCCAGGCCCAGTCTCCCTGAGTATGCCCTGGCAAGGATTTGGGGAGCTGCAGGTAGTAGCTGCCTTGTTCCAGTGCTCTCGCTAGAGCTGCCAATTTCCTAGCCCCCATTTCTTCCTTCCTAAAAGACTCCTGCTCTTGCTTGGGGGAGCAGAGTGCATAACCCCAAGGACGTTGCTTCTGGTTTCCCAGCGGGATGGAGGAGTGGGCCTTGTATTCTCTGGAGACAACAAGAGGAGAAAAACTTTGGTCTCTGAAGCTTTTCATTTCTCCCTGGAAACCTCACAGCATCATCAACTCTCAGATTAGAAAGGCACCTAGGATAATTCAGTTTAACTTCCCACACAGTTCAAGAATCTCCCCTCAGTACTATCTCCTGGCACAACCTAGAAAAAGAAGTGATAGAAAAAAATAAACTTCGGAGCCCAACAGATCTGGGGGCGACTCCTGGCTCCAGCACTAACCATCTGAGTGACTTTGCACAAGCCACCTACCCCCGCTGAGGCTGGGTTTTCTCAGGCGTAAAGGAGCAGTCGTCCCTCCCTTATATTTTCTTTTAATTAAGATTTAATGAGATAATGTTCATAAAGCTTCTAACTCAATGCCTGGCAAAGAGTGCCAGGCTTGTTAAAAGTTAGTTCCCTTCCTTTTAGAAGGAGGTTGTCAACTACTTTGGCTGGCTGGACGCTGCACACCTCTTCCTTTGAGCTGAAATCTGCATATTTTCCCTCCCCCAGCCCCCCCTGATTCTTCACATGCTGACTGGGGAAGCTCTGATCCAAGTTTTTAAAGGACGTTGAAAGGAAGTTCTGCTGGGAGCTGTGCATTGATATCCCTCCCCTCCTAGCGTGGAACATCCCATCCCAACAGGATGCAGCTTGTCTCATTTCCTAATTAATCAGCCTGGTGGTTCTCACTGTGTTCATTTACCTGCCCTTTGACAATGAGCTTCCTCAGTAAGCTGGGGGCCCACGAAGGGTGGAGACAGGTGTGGGGCAGCATGGTAGGAGATGTTATCAAGAATCTCTCTCCCTCTTCTCCTCCTCCCTTCCCTGCTGCCACACCCAGGACATTTGTTGTTGCTTTAAAATAAATAGTGTATTAAGTCACTGTGACCAGCTTCTTCCCTTTCTCCGGGAGACAGGCTAGGCAGACAGGCTAGGCATATGCAAGCACGCCTATATATGATTTCCTCTTTTTTAACTTTTTATATAAATGGTAGCATTTATATAATGCTACGCAAGCTGGTCTGCAGCTTCCTGCTGTTTTGTTTTGTTTTGTTTCATGGGTTGTCTTGGAGGCTATTTCATATCAGAAGAAGGTATTAGGTCCTGGTCTCGAAGGACTGTCCTGAAGAGCCCCAAGAAGAGATCAGCTCATTTTCCCCTCTCCTCTTCTTTCTCGACATCACAAGTATTAATGTCATGATTTAGCTAATGTCTTTCTCCCCCACTGGGCTGTTGATATCTTGAGGGCAGGGTAATGCCTGTGTGGGTCACTCCTACCCCTCCCAGTGTCTACTACAGTGCCTGGACATTTGCAGCTGCTCGGCGAATCTGAGCTGAATGGATGATAAGAATGGGGAGGCTCCTTCATTCCTCCTATATGTGTCCAACCACTTTTCTCCATGTTGGTGTCCTGTCCTAGGTTAGGACGGAACCAAAGTGAGAACCTACCTCCCATTTCTTAAAGATTCCAATGCTCTTATGACATGGTTCAGTTTCTTTAACATGGCCTACAACGCCCTACATAATCTAGCCCCCACCTACCATTCCAGCCTCCTCATTCAACTTTCTTTCACTCCCTGGGTTCCAGCTCATTCCAAACGTCTATGCTTCCTTGCTCCATCTACCCAAGCCTCAGGGACTTTGTACACACACTTTCCTCTGCCTAGAATGTTCTTCCCTACACTCTTTCCTCCCTGGATCCCCTGCTTCCCCCATTAGTGTCTACTCATACTCAGTAAAGCCCTCAGTAAAGCCCTTGACACCTTGGTTAAGTCCCTCAAATACCTGCACATCTTCTCAAAGACTTGATCATAAATAGCATTTACTTATTGTCTGTTTTCCCTGCTGGACTGTAAGCAGAAATCATAAGAGTCTTATGTCCCAGGGCCAGACATATGATGAACACTCCAAAAATATTTTAAAAAAAGAATGATGAATGATTCTCATGTTGCCTCCAACCTAAAATTTCCAGTGATTTCTCACACCTTTTCAGGTAATTTAGTAGCCACAGTCCATCATGATCCAGTCCTCATCAATCTCTCCAGCCAGACCGAAATGTCTGGTTCTCCAAATGAGGCATATTGTTTTCTAAGTCCATGCCCTTCCTTCATTCACAGACCCTTCCTTCTGCCTGCTGCTGTTCTTGTGAACTCCTAATCTGTTCTTCTAACAGTTTCGAGCGGCAGCCTGTTCTCAGACCCCATTCTGACCTGACAGTCTCATCTGTGTTCTCTTAGCGTGCCTCCCTTTCCAGCACCTGTTATATCTTACTTTGGTGCCATTTCTTGGCACTGCCCCTCCCTTGATCCTCTTTCTTTGCCTGCCCCTCAAATGGCTGTTGTCCCCAGGGTTGAGACCTAGACTGTCTTGCTTCCCCTGAATAAACTCCATAGGTATGGATTTTAACTACCACCATATGCTTATGATTCCCCCATCACTGTTTCCATCCTGGTCTTCTCTCCTAGCCTCCAAGACCATAATTCCAAGTGCCCAGGGACCTTCCCAGTGGGGTATCCCTCAGGCCTCATTGTATATCGTACTGATGTAAAGAACTGATGTGATCACTTTTTCCTACACTAAGCCACCTCCTCCCTCTGTGTTTGCTTAGTCCATCAATGGCCCAACCACCTGCCCAAGGGGCCAGCCTGAGTGCTGAGAGTCATCCCAGAGGATTCCCTTTTCTTCATGGTTCTCCCTGCCCCCACCCAGTTTTCAATCTATTAACCAACACCTAATAATGCTACTTTATAATTATCTCTTGAATCTCTCCCATCCCCCTCATTCTTACCACATGGGTTTGCTTCAGCCCTCATTATTTCTCGCCTGGAGAACTACCATCACATCCTAACTGGTCTCCCTGCAACCAATCTGGTGCCTCTCCAAATACCCTTTATATTGCAGTCAGAGTGATCATTCTAAAAAGATCAGATCTAAAATCTGATCATGCCAATGCTCTGTTAATATCCTTCAGCAATGCCCCCCACTTCCAAGTTTGTTAGCATTGCACAGAGTCCCTTTGGTCTGCATCCCCTTGCTGATGCTCCAGCCCCCGAGTTTCATGTTCCTCCCCAGGGGACCACCTGCAGTTCCGTGAATGTGCTGCATATTCTCCCTGCTCCAAAACACTGTTCGCATCTTTTCCCTGTGAGAACTCCACCCTACTTATTTGCCGCTTCACTCCTACTTGTCCTTTTAGACTCGACTAAGGTAGTAATTATCTCCTTGGGGAAGTCTTCCCTAACCACCTCTGAAGGCTTTGTTAGCTGCTACTCCTAGGTTCTCCTAGAGAAATTATCATGTTGTTTATCATATGTTTATTTGTCTCCTCCACTTAGCAGTAAGGGCCTCTGGGACAGGAGACAAATATTTACTTGCATATCTCCAGCCTTCTGCACAGTGACCAATACATAGCAGAGGGCCAATACATGTTTGATGAAAAATGGACAGTGTGGGGCCTCCCTGGTGGCCCAAGGGGTTAAGCACCACACTATGAAGCAATCCGCAGCCTCTGCAGCATGAGTTCGGTCCCCGGCCGGCCAGGGAGCAACCCACATGGCGCAGCAGACCTCTCCTGTCTCGCCCGCTGCTCCCCTCAGTGGTGTATTTCAGTCAGTCTGCCTGTTCTGTTCCCCACTCTGTCTCTGGTGAATCCTCTCACCCCCCACAACTCTGGCCTGTACCCCAGCTCTTGTATGCATAAATGAATAAATCTTTAAAAAAAAAAAAAAAGAATGGACAGTGTGAAGTTTATATGAAACAGCTATATCCTACCCCAAAGCTGGATTTTACCCATCCTTTACTGCTAAAAGACTCAAGCACAACACCATTATCCCTATCTTTCTTAATCTTCAGTCGTCATCGTCTGCAATGAAGGAAAACCCTCCTACCCCCACCCTTCTTGTTCTATCTCTCTCCTGGATGGTGATGAGATTTTCTACTCTACAAACTTCTAGGTCTACCTGAACTGCCAGTTATTCCCAGCTCTGGATTCTTCCCTGACCACCACTTGGCACTTCTTCTTGGAAGCCTGGGAGTCATGTCCTACTTCTGATGACCAGTTCTAGAATCTTCGATCCCCCCTCCTCACCCCACACTTGTTCTTCCTGCAGTTTTTCATCACCTCAAAAACTGACAGCACCATCCAACTGGCTGCTCAGGCCAAAACCCTTGAACACATCTTTGCCTCATTTCTCACACTGCTTATCTGAGTCCCAGAATATCTTGTGGCTCCATGGTGAAAGTCTACTGGGAATCCATCCACTTCTTCCTCGCTGCCCTGGCTACCGCCCTTGCCCAAGCCTCCACCACTCTCAGCCTGATTGTTGTAATTCTCCTCCCACACAGATTACTAATCTCCACTAGCTCACATAGTCAGCTCAGGCTACTCTGCTCGGGGTTCTCCAGGAGCACATTTCATGCAAACTGAAAGTCAGGGTCCTTGCAATTGCCTCCAAGAACCTGGGTGGTCTGCTCCCTGCTGCTTCTCTGATTTCATCTCCTATTTCTTGTCTCCTTCCTCACTCTTCTCCAGCTACACTGGCTTGCTGGCTGTTCCACAAACATGCCAGGTCTTTTCACTTACTGGTCCTTCTGCCCAGAACAGCCTTTTCTTCAGATACTTCATTCCCTTTCAACACTTAGGTCTCTGCTACAATATCACCGTCTCAAAGAAGACCTCTCTGATCACCCTATTAAAAAATCATTTCACCACGATCTCTTTTGATCCCCTCATGCTACTTTATATTATATATATATATATATATTATATCCAGCTTCTTTATATTATATATATTTTATATACAGCATCTCTGCTTATTTATTTGTTGCATGGCCCCCTCAACTCCCAACCTCCATGCTCCCCAGGATGGAAAAGATGCTCTTGCCCTCTGGACATCATCTCCTCCAGTGCTTGGCAGACAGTTTGATTCCCTGCCACTCACCAGCCGGGAATTGTAGATGGGTGATTTGATGGGTGTGGCCACAGGGCAATTGATTCGCTTTTCCTTTTGGCGTCGGTTGCAGAACCAGACCCTCACCACTTCCTTCTCCATGGACAACTGCTCTGCAATCATGGAAATCTCCTCTGAGCTGGGTTTGGGATTCTGCAGAGATCACAGAGATGGAGTGTGAGCAGGAGCAGAAAGGAAGAGGGCTGGGGACAGATGTTCCTAGGAAGTGGGACAGAACTATAGATGAATCAAAGCTTTAAAATCAGACCTGATTCCTAATGGATAAAATTCTGGCTTTGTCACTTATTGTGCATCCTTAGGAAAGTTTCTTAACCTCTCTGAGTCTCAGTCTTATCACCTATGCAATAGAAATAATAATGCCTAACATACAGGATTATTATGAGGATTAAGTAAAAAAAAAATGTGTGAACTGCCAAGCATGGGCCCTGACACAAGAGTGGAGGCTCCAAGAACTTAAGTTCTCTCCTCTCTTTCCTTCCAGAAGTTCTGAAAAGAGGCAGCCATTGACGAGTTATGTGGGCAAACAATCCCCAGAACCTATGCTCCCCTCTAAGTTCTTTCCTTATAACCTGATATTCTTATGTCATTTTTTCTTCACCTACTTCAAAATAGGAAATAAGAAAGCTAAAACAGACAGACCTATGAAAACAGTAGGGGAGACGTGTTTCTCTCTCTCTCTCCGCCCCCCACCTCGTGTGTGTGTGTGTGTGTAATTGTATATATGTATGTATTATATTTTACTTATTATATTATAATAAACTTATGATACTCCCTTGTTCTGATCCTTCGCACCCCCTCCACCGTCCAGTCTTTGACCTCAGCCCCTTTCTCTCCCTCTTACACCTTCCTTTCCTGTTCTTGCTCTGAGAAACCTTATCAGAAGGAAAAATCAGCTTGTTCATCCTGCCAGCAGAATGCAGCCATCAAATTCCTAAGCACATACATTGGAGAATCTGCTGGTGGAACAGCGGTGCTGAAGATGTGGGACCAGAAAGGTTAGACTAGGCCTGCCCTTTAAGTGCCTGTGTCCGGGTGTAGGCCCTGGAGCCTCATGTCTTGGGCATCCTGGCCAGAGCTGTTTAGACCACACCTGCTTTTCCTCTTCTCTCCCCAGCCCTGATAGGGCACAGAGCTGTTATTATTAGTTTCCATGCACTGGCTCAAGAATATGACTTTGTTACAAGTTAAGAGAAAAAAGTATATAATATGATCACAAATATTTTAATATGTGTGGAAAAAAGAAACAGAAGGAAGTACATTTCGATGACATTTGATGGTATTTTTTTTTTTACTTCTCTGTGTTTTCCCATTTATGAGGAGTATTGCATTTCTAATTTGAAAAAATACAAAGCAATGCATAGAAAATTAGGAATTTATATACAATGCTCTGGCTCTGCTCCCTTTATCTCAACTGAGTACAGAGATACACCCTCTTCTGGGGCCCTAAATCCCCTTCTTTAAATCTCCCAGTGAAAAGATCAATCAGTCAATCTCCCAGTGAAAGGGACCAAACAGATGTCACAACTAGGTTCAGTGGGAAAGTGGTCCCCGGAACTCAGTTGAAGGGAGTTTGGGGTTCACTCAAACACTTGGGCAGTTGGACGCTTTCCCAGGGGCAGGTGTATGGTGGGGTGTATACCTGCTTGCCCACCTAGGCAAGTGGGTCCACCTTCCCCTCCCCAAGCAAACTGCTCACGTCTTGAAATCTCTTTTCCAGAGTCAGGCGGATGTTGGTCTCGATGCTGGTCCGCTTCTTCCTCTTCCTACCAAACACTTCACTGAGGGTGGGGTAAGAGCTGGGGGTGCTCACTGAGGGGTCTGATGGAGAAGACTCTGCGGAGAGGAGAAAGAGCAGAGGAAGCTCAGAAAAGAGCATGCGCAGCCAGCTCAGGGCCTGTCTCGGTGAACGTGAGGCCCACCAACCCTTTCCCTGTGGTTCTGCAGAGGCATTTTCAGGACCAGCCCCCTCCCCCACCGAGGCGAACCAGAACAGACCAAGAATTTTGCTTCTTCTTGTTCTCAGGGCAAACATTCTCCATGACTCCCACCGCAGAGCCTCCAGTGTTTGCAGTCATGGTTCAGGGACACCCAGACATCAGTGGCATGTGTGGGTGTGAGGGGTGCTGGTAGAGCTCCTACGAGTGACACTTGTGAATCTGTCTTTTACAAGTAGGCCTGCATGTGCACACCTAGGAGAAGGCAAGTTGGGGCTTTGGGTGCTTGATGGCAGAATGTGGGTGATGAAGTCATTTTCTTTTCAGTGTAAGTGTTGGAATAAGAGCTGTCTGGTTGACGCCCCGCAGGCGTCTTGGGGGTGACACTAGAAATGACCTACGAGGTCCTTTTGAGAGATCCTGAGACCCTCAGTCATATCTCCCACTGTCTAAAGGATAGACTACTGGGGGGAGCCTCCTCACAGCCCCCTGCCTCTTTCTCTGCAGAGGGACTTCTGAGAAGGTAACGCCCCTGGCTACCCATCCTCCGGTCCTTTCCTCCCTGTCCAAGAACTCAGTAACCCACAGGTATCTACGTTCTCAACCAGGAATGATTTTGTACCATAACTACTCCTTGGGAGATATTTGGTAATATCTGGAGACATTTTTGGATGTCTCAGCTGGGGACAGGTGCTACTGGCATTTAGTGGGTAGTGACCCGGGATGCTGCTCAATACCCTACAATTCATTAGACAGCCCCCCACAACAAAAGATTGACAGGCCATGGCTGAGAAACAGCGCACATTATTCCCTGTTGCAGTTCTTCCATTCATTACTCCTGATCCTTTGCGCTTGGCATACAACCTTGACCTGGAATGCTTCCCTGGCTTCCAGGTCTGATGAATCCCTCTGCAAACCCCACTCCCGCTTTAAGATTTTCCAGATCTATCTAGCTCACAGTCACTTCCTGCCCTCTGAAAGTGACTCAAGAATTAGCTAGTAAGACAATGTATTGTGTCTGCCACCTCCCTGTCTCAGGCATGAGACCCTGGAGCACCCACTTCTGTTTCTCCCCTCCCCCTGCCTCTGAACTCGGTCTATCAGGCAGCAATCTGGGCAAGTATGTCTGCTCTGCAGACCTGAACTTTGCCTCTGGTGAGCTGTCCTGAGGTCTAGTCTGGTAGGTCTGGGGTCAGGAATGGAATGAGGATATATTTTCAGGGCCACAGACCTAAAGTCACACCCTCCAAAGGGCCTTATCAGTAATGAAGCTGACATTTTCATCTTCCCTTGCCTTAGCCCCCGTGTCTCAGTTCTCAGCTGGGCCCAGATTCAGGAGGAGAGGAAAGGGGATATTCAGGATCGACTCCCTTAAGCCCCCATATAGGCAAGTCACTAGCCCCTTGGCTGCAGAATCCTCTCGGGCACACCCCTCCTTGCGTCCTTGAGTCCCCACCTGCATCGTTCAGCCACTTCTCCAGCAGTGGCTTCAGCTTGCACATGTTCTTAAAGCTCAGGTTTAGGGCCTCAAATCTCGAGATGGTTGTCTGGCTGAAGTCATTGCCGTAGAGTTTCCCCATCGCCAGCCCCACGTCTCCCTGCAAGAGGGAATTGAGAGAGAGGAAACTGAGAGACAGGCTCTTTCTCCTCTTTACCCACACCCCTCACCATCCTAGTATCTATCACGTTCCCAGAGACCCTTCTGGTACCCACCCACCCCTTTGGTTCCTTTCCAGATTATTTCCCTCTAAGATGGGTAATTGGCTGAATTTTCTCCCTAGACTCTGGGTGGGCCATGCCTGGCTCTCATTCCTCTCCCACCACCAGCAGTGTCTTCGGTTTCCCTCCCTCTCAGGGAGCACTGGGACTTGATGGATTTGCCCCAAACCCACTCGAGCTTCTGATTGCTCTTTAGCCCTACAGTCAAGAAGCCCAGTCTCTGCTCACTCAACCCATTTCTTCCTCTGCCTCCCCCTAAACCAGACCTGTGTGAAGCCCAGCTTAATGCGCCTCTGCTTGAAGGTCTTGGCAAACTTCTCCAGCTCCTCCAAGTCACTGGGTTCATCGGCCCCTCCAGAACTGGGTAGGTGCTTGGGCACTGGGAGATGCTGGGATGCTTCCAGATGGGGTTCTAAAGAGGATCCCGGCAGCCCGGGGCGCCCAACTGCCTGAGAGGGAACACATGCCAAGCAGATCCACAGATATTCAACAGGTCAAAAGGCAGGGCCTGCTATTCTATACTAATAGGCACACTTAGCGGAAGGCAGATCCCTGTACATTGGCTTCCTATTTTTGCACTGGTGTGGAAATTGCAGTTTCTACAAAGGGATAGCAAACAGCATAGCTGAGTAGAAACACCAGGAGTATCAGACAGGGAAGTGACCTTTCTGGGTCTTAGTCTATGACTCACTGTTTGACTCTCAGCAGGTAACTTCCTCCTTTTAGTGTTCCACCATAAAAGGAGTTAGCAGGGTTGTTTACAAAGATTCCAATCACAAATCTCAGACTGGACAAGGAAAAGGTTGTTTGCTTTGCCTGCTCTTGGCCACAAAGCAAAGCAACTGAGATGTTCAACAAGCATTATCTGAAGATAACAGGACATCCCAGACTCACTGTTAGTGGAACTTCCATAAAAATTCACACTTTTGTGATTGCCATTTTCATTTCTAAACCGCCATTTTCTTTCATGAGATTGTTTTGTTTCCTTTTTTTTTTTTTTTTTTTTTAGTCAAAAGCCTCCCAGGGCTATCTAAATATACCTTGATCTCACTGGCATTTGTCAGGAGGTATTCTTACTTTAGTTTATTTTCATCAGAAAATGCACACTTAAACCTAGAACCCATGCTGTGCCCATCTGGGGTCAGAGGTGAATTGAACTTGTGAAGACAGCTGTCATTCCACAAAGGAGGCATGGGAACCAAGCCCAGGGGTCCAGGCACCGTTCAGGCCAGGGAGGCTTCCCATGTAGATAACTTGGCCTAAACCCATTCTCTTCTGTCTCCTTCCTAGTTTACACTTTTCCTAGACTAAGTTTAATTTTTTGCACTCTCTTTCCTGAGACAGAAGATAAGGGCTCCTTCCCCAAGTGAGGGGGTCTTTAAGGACAGAAGGATTTCAAACCATTGTGGATTTGATCCTGTAATGCAGGGAAGGAGGGTGGCATAGACCAGACCCTCAGGACAAGTCTCAGCCCTCATGGAGACTTCCTTTTCATTTGTTCTGTCATCTGACAAATTTGTATTGAGTTCTCTGCTAGACCTTTTCCCTCTCCCCTTCACATCCAATCAGTTATCAAATTGTATTGACTCAGCTTCTCCAAACATCTCCTATTCATCCCCTCCTTTTTACACATATTGTCACAGCCCTAAACCAACCCCGCCCCCCACTCCATGATCTGAAGAATCTTCTAAACAGTCTTTCTGTCTCTGATCTCTCCTTGCACTTTTACAAATGGGAGAGTTGACCCTGAATACTCTCTAAGTCTATGGTGATGAGTCTATGGTTGATGAGAGAGCCTGGAGGAGGTCGAAGGGCTTATAACTCCGGCGTCCTCATTTCTTTTGGCCACTAGATGGCACCCTCCCCTGTTCCAGATGTCTCCTAAGAGTTCCCTATCCCTTCCTTAAGTCAGGCCTTAGTCATGGGGATCTAAGCGCAGAAAGGACATTAAGATTTCTGCAGTCATCGCCAATCCTTCTGCACAGCCATCTCTGCAGAGCCCTCTCATGCAGCTGTGCAGGCGGTGATCTGCACAGGGATACCCATATGATGGGAGGAGCGGCAGGTCTGCACCTTGGTGTGAGGCTGATCTGGAGATGAAGAGGTGACTTTTTACTAACTGGCTCTGTCAGTTAGTACTGTTGGGCCATGCAGCTCTGCACTCGGCCCTTTTGCAGTCCTTAGTCCTCTTGAGCTGCACATGTCCCCACTGCTGGAGGCAAGCTAGAACAGTGTGTCTTAAGAAAGACTTAGAGGTAAGAGACACTGGATTTGTGTTGTTGGACATCAGGCCACTGGCACTCTGGTCTCCTCCTGAGGGCTTGAGAGCACCCCAGCAAAGCAAGTTGGCATCCCTGGAAATTTCACTGAGCCTTGGTTCTAAGAGCAGGACCCTTCAGGCCTGGTGAGGGCTGGAATAGGTCAATGTAACCCCCAGGAGCTGGCTAGCCTGGAAGCTGAAACTTCTGGGTTCTAATTCTGGCTCCAGCAATGATATTGGGACAATCGCCTCTCTTGGCTGTGGCTGAATTTCCCCAAGTGTCAACAGGGATAATCTCCTCTGCTTCCTCTTCCCAGAGGGGTAAGTCTACCATCAAGGGGGTGGGGGGAAACCAGTGAGCTTAACTGTGTCAAGAGCTGAGAGATTCCTAGAGGAAACAGGAAGAATGTGGTTGTTTACCTGGGAGGCCAGGCCAGGCCCAGTCTGCGGGAGGAGGAGAGAGCTTTGTTGCTGTGGAAAGGGGAGAAGATTTGGCTGCAGACCTGGATGAAAGGGGAGTGACAAAGGAACAAACGAGTAAAATCCAGGCCATGTGAAAGACATGATCTACAACTCTGGAGACACGATAACTGTCCCCACCCCCTGCTACCTAATCAGGTCCCTCAACCCATCTTGAGCCCAAGAGAGCCCCAGGGGCACTGCCAGGCATTGCCACACATAGGCGGAGGCGAATCAGACACAGGGATAAACATGTAAACAGCAGTCCCCAAACCAGTCCTTCTGCTTGCCTGCCTGTCTGGTGCACAGGCTGAGGAGGGTCAAGGCCATCTACTTGGGGAGCTCATTACCCGGACTGAAGAAACCCAAGAAGGAAGGAGGTGCAGGGGGTGATTACTAGGAATTCAAGCTGGAGTGGAGGATTTCCGTTTTGTCCATAGAGGCAGCTGGGTGGTTACCTAGGCCTCACCAAAGCTGCAAGCACGTCGGACCAAGCGGATGAGGCCGCCCAGCTCCAAAGGGCAGTGGGCCACATGCCAGAGGCTCTTGGAAGAATCAGGACAATTTACACTTGGGAGAAAGAGCTGACAGGAGAGAGGGGCAGAGGTCTAGCTTCTGGAAGCTCTGTCTGGAGGTATGGACTACCCCTGCTGGTCACACTGTCCAAGCACCTCTTTCTCCTTCCCTTTCCAGGGAAGTTGTTCATGAGAGGCTCTGCCTGGTTGGTGGTCACGACAGTGGCCCCTTCAAGGATGGGCTACAGTCAGGAACTCTCAGTCAGTATAGAAAGGGGGCCGTTAAACTGCCAAAGCAGACAATAGGAGGGTTGTCCCAATTACAGCACAAAGCAGAACCTTGGGGTCTCTGCTGTCTCCAAGCTGTTTTGATGCTAACCTTCATGCCCCTCAATCTGAAAAAGTCAAGGCTCAATTTTTCCTTATTAAATAGACAAGGGAGAGGCAGCTTGTACAAAGCTCGTACAAAGAACCCCAGACTGGGAGTCTGGAGGCCTGAATAATAATAATAACCTAGCATTATTGCATCTCAAAGTATACAAAGCCTTTTCACATGCATTACCTCAAGTAACTCTCCATGACCTTGTGAGGTAGGATTTTGCTCTTATTCCTCTTTTATTGAAGAGGAAACGCAAGCTCAGAGGAGTTAGGTAAGTTTCCCAAGGACCCATAGCTAGGAAGTGATTTCTTTTCCCTAACCAATGAATTTTCTCAGATTCTCATTTTTTCACCCTCTGCATCGTATGCGGAATCATTGGTTATAGCCCTGGGCCATTTTTCACATCACTCTTCAGTCTTCCAAAAAGAAACTAAATTTTAACTGTTATCTTCCCTTTCCTGTTCTAGGAGTATGATGTGAGTATGGTATACATTATTTAGCTAAAATAAATACTAAAAGTTCAGGTATGTTCTCATTCATCATCACAGTGTTCAGAGATGCCTTGGAAATTAAAGATAGGAACAAGTGCTAAAGGCAGAAGTCAGAGTTACATTTTATTTGGATTCTGGATTTCCAGAGCTCCCATTTGGAATCCATACAACAGAGGGGACTTAAACTTCCCTCACATTTGGTCCCACTTGGTGGAGATAAGGGACAGAGGGCCCACAGTGAGTAGGCCAAGAGCATGGATTTTAGGTACACTATTCTGGAACTTTCTACTGGGTCACCAGAGATACAATATGACTACCTGCCACATGTGGTTACTTTTAAAAATGTCAGAAAAATCACTCAGCAGAGCTCCTGGCACATCATGCTCAAGAGGTTTCTTGTTATGAATATTCTAATCTGTTTGCTCTTGGCCCCGTAGTTCTCTGGTAATAACTTTCCTGCCAAAGAAAACCTGAAAACCTTCTCTTCTGCCTGTGGGTGGCACTGCCACTCTACCCAAATAAAATCTCAGTCAAGCTTCCGGGAGGTAAAAGTGTGAAATCTGTGTCTGAGAGATTTCCAAGGAATTGGGACTTGTCTGGACAGTGTGTCCCAAGGAGCTCCTCCCTCTTTGCCCCTCCCAGCCCCCCCCAAACTCCCCCCCACCTGGCACCTTCAGTCTCTCCTTTCCATGAAATGGAGGAAGCAGGGAGGGGAAGCAGAGAAGGAGACAGCCTGGAGGGGCAATTCTAGGGTCCTTTCCACACCCTATACTTGGGCTCCCTCGGCCAGCAAGTAGCCATGGCAGCATTTTCCTGGGCCCTTCTATGTAGAAAACCCCTGGTTCTTACCTTGCTGCCCAGGTTGGGTCTGAGATAGTAGGAACTGGGAGACAGACTGTAGGTGGCCAGGAACCAACACAAGCTGCTGGAGTGGATGAAGAGAAGTCATGTCCTGTGCACGGAAGACACAGATAATTTACATACGGGGGGTGTGGTTCCATCTGCCTGCTGCCCCTCTATTCCATGGATCTGAGAGTTTGCAGGGAGTGATCTTGCCACATGCCTGTGTATCTCCTGGTGCTTGGCGTACAGTTGTTGCACCATTGGTGCAGGTGGTGTTATGTCTCCTGCATTCAGCTAAGTTTGACACCTATTGTTACTTAAATCATGCCTTGTTGTTTCATTTTTGTGTGTGTCAATCCCATCTCCCAACTATATATGCCCTGAGGACACAGACTAGGAATAACCCATGTCTTAGGGGCTTACCCTAGAAATGACATGCTATGCCAAGTGTCCTTATTTTTATTTTTTAAAAAGATTTATTTATAAGAACTGGGGTACATGTTAGGGGCACGAGAGGGTGAGAGAATTCACCAGAGGGAGCGGGGAGCAGAACAGGCAGATGGACCGAAGATATTGCTGAGGGGAGCAGTGGGCGAGGCAGGAAAGATCTGCCACGCCGTGTGGGAATCTCCCTGGCTGGCCGGGAATCGAACCAGCGCTGCAGAGGCTGTGGACAGCTTCACAGCGCAGTGCTCAACCCACTGCACCACCGGGGAGGCCCACCAAGTGTCCTTTTAAAAAAAAATTTCATGCCACTTCACTATGCTTAAAGCCATGTCTTGGCCACTTCCTGGACATGAACCTTTCCTCGAGGACAAGAACATTTCCTCCTTAATAAAACCTATTTGATTAAACAGAAAACCTGTTTCCCCAAGGCTCCTCCCACCAGCTCAGGAAATGGGAATGCCAAGTCAATACTTAGGGGATCTGGGAGTCCTGTGCACCCCCTCAGGACTGCTTACATCTGTGCATGGAGGAAAGTCATAAACTCTTGCTGAATGCACAAGTAAAGGTATGGAGGCACATTCTAGTCTTAAATATTTCTGGAAAAGGGGTAGCTACTCCTTCCCTAGGTGACTCACACCAAAGGAAGGCTTCAGGCATGCTCTTCCTTCTCAGACATTTGCTAAGCTTCAGGAGGCCTCCTTCTTCCTCCCCATGCAGCACTCCCTTGTAGTTTGATTTGGACATAAAACCCTGGGGGAGGAGTGAGCCCACTGGTGACAGAAAGGTCCTTGAACTAGAGCGGTAGCTGTCATCACAGAGCTCCCCTGAATGCGGGGGTAGGGGACACCAGTCCCACAGCTGATAGTTCCATCATTTTGCAAGATTGGCTCCTTCTTCTCCCAGACAAGTGGAGGCCTTGTTTTCACATAACCTGTCAGGTTTCCCTTTAAGAGGAATCCCACCCCAACCCAGGCCTCTGAGTCTCCTTCTCCCATTCCCTGCAGGGGCTTCTTTGGACCAATCTGGGTTCACTGAGTGCCCAGGCTAAATGGCCAGCATGTTGCCGAAGGTTGTCTTACACTCACTGGCCCACCGGGAATAGCAGGGCCGGCATTTACCCCAGACATCTGGTTTCCGGACATCATGGAAGGCCCTTGGGTCAGGTGGCATGGCCGGTGGGGGAGGGTCTGCTGCAGTGAGTCGCTGAGGTCCTCAGTTTTAATCTGTAAGCAGAGGACGTCAGAGATGTCAGTTCCAGGTCTCCCCAGACCAGGCCAAGATCAAGGCAGGAGGTAGGGGACACGACGGGACAGAAATGAGCTAGCTCAGTGCCATCTGGGAGGCAGCTGGATTTTCCTACCATGTGTGTCCAGCAGGTAAGGGACAGTACGAGTGGCATCGTGAGTACCAACCTGCAAAGTGGGGAATCCACTTGGACAGGCCCTCCTGCCGGACCATGCCCGCACATATTGCAATTTTCTCATTCTCATTGAAATGAGAAACAATAGGGATATAGTAGAGATTTAAAAGTGGTTAACTCTGAGATGATTTTTTGGGATTGGAAGTATCTTAAAATTTTTTTTATGAAATGGCGATCCTAAATCGTGCTTAACCCCTTCCCCCCAAACCCTCAGAGTAAAAATTTGGCTGCCTTAACAGTTCCCTCCAATATTCTGTTTTTTACTTTCAGGGTCCATGAAACCCCAGAGTCTAGGATTAACTCCCCCCACCCCATACTTGTTTTCCACACTTCTCCCCGCTGGGTGCTGAGCTGATCTGCAGCTGGCCCTCTTGGCCTGTGGGGCTTTGGTGACAGTCCTTGGCTGTCTCCCTGCAGGCTGGGGCACGTCTCCTCACACTCTGCTGCAGTTGCAGCTCGAGGGGCCTGTGGCGGTTTCCAAACTCCCTCCAGCCTCTGCCACCTTCAGTGACAGCACCAGCCACCCACTCATGGGTTTCCCAGGTGTCCAAGGGCAGGGCACCAGGGGCTGCTTTTGCCCACCCTCCCTCCAGCCCCCAAGCAACTACCTTCTCACAGTTTTTCAAGAGGTCTCAATTGGGGAGGGGAAAGCCAAGTGACTTTGAATTCACATAAAATGGCAAGGTGCCTAGGCTATAATACACCTTATAAAAAGACACTGGGGAAACCCTCTGGTGGAGACCTTGGCCATGAAGATCTTGGTTTCATACATTTTCTTCTTGGTCTATACAGGGAATGCCACTGACACCTTGGACTCTCTCCTGCCAGTATTTATGTAACTCAACTTGAAGGTTCAGATGAACAGCTACTCTTGTGCTTAATCCCTGTGGGAAAATAGTGCTTTAGGTCACTAAAGAGAGATTTCCCTTTGCTTAGAGAGTTAGGACCGTCCTACCGAGCAACATTAGAGACTGAGGAGGAAGCTAATGTCCTAACCATGGTGACTCTCGCAGAGAGTGGGAATCCAGTGTGTGTTAATTGAATAAGAGACATAAACAGATCTTATCTCTCCTAAGTCAATAGCGGCAAAGTGAGGACAGCATGGAGCAGGGAACCAGGACTCCTTTCTAGTCCTAACTGACTCACTCGCTATGCAACCGAGCAATCATTTCTGGTCTGGGGCACTCAGTGTCCCCAATCTGCTATATAATTCTACCTGATTTCTCTCCCTTACGATCGGAAAGTGGAATTATAAGTTCCGATTCTGTAGTGCAGTTGGCCGACTCCGGTGGGCCAGGCTGCCACAGTGTCCCACAGAAAGCGAATGAAACAGCACCGGAAGCCCCGGCTACACAGATAATGTAAGAGGATATTTCTTTCAGGGATGGTCTTTACAAATCATTCCTCCCTTCTCCTCTTGCCTAAGGAGACTGACTATTCAGGAGTGTTGGAAACAAAAAGGAGGAATGGAGAGAGATGGGAAGTAGCCCCATGGGGGCAGAGTTAGACTTTCTGAAAACTCTACAGGCATGGCCACTGGGAGTGGTCTCCAGGAAAGCCCCGATCCCTACCCCCACACTCCTTCAGCAATTCCCACCCACGCTTGGCATCTCCATCCAAGAAACTCTGGTGTCCTAGTTCTTCCCCCAGAAACTAGAGTTTTCACCTCCTAGATTCTAGAAAACATTTGTTCGCTGGTTTTATTTAAAAAGCTAGAAATAGATGATAACTTACTTATTTATTTAAAACTACCACCACCCACTTTAAGGTTTGCTCGGAGAGGAGATTTCACTTAAGCAAAGCCTTTGGGGCCAGCTTCCCCTGCCCACATCTCCCTTCTAGAGTCCCCCTCCTGGCTCCAGAGCATCCTTCATCCCAAAGGGGCAATAGGTGAGGCAGGATGGAGGAAGGGGGACAGAGAGAAGGTGGAAAATTGGAGCTGAAACCAGGCTGGTGGAACCACCGCAGGCAGCTTGGCCTGGCTCCAGCTCGGAGGCAAGTGGCAGGGTTCCTTTATAGACTCATTATGCTCAGTGGGGAGATAAGAAGGTGCAGCTATGACAGAGCTTGAAAACATGTGCTTTGCCTCCAACCCGGGCGCTATCTGTTAGAATCAATGCCAGGTCTTCCTGCAACACTTAATTTCAGAAACCAGCGCCATCATGAAAGAAAACTCACCCTTTCATCTACTTCCTGGATCAATTGCCCTCCAAATGCTTTTAGGGGCATGGTCGACCTCCTAGTCTGAAAATGAAGTGCCCCATAGCTGAAAATTCCATTGGGGTTAATCTGGGGATTTCTCCAAACGTTTTATTCCCATACTTCATCACCCCCTGGGTGGGAGGTGTTAACAATACCCGCCCCCCGAGTCCCCAAAACAATTCCAAACAAACCAGACTAAAATATCCTAAAGGAGACTTTGTTTTCTATGGCAAGTTCTAAAATCTCCGGTGTGGCCAGAGAGTCTCAGAAAAGAACAGAGACGAACTAGGAAGAAAAGAAGATACAGCAATACTTCCTGCCTCCAGCACACTTCTTCCACCAGTTCTCTGAGAGTCTGGGGGTGTAAGAAACTAAGAAATTAAGAAATGAAGTCTTTCCCAAATCAAAAAAATCCCTTTCACAGCTGTTGAAGGGAAACGTTTGGAACATGTCCAGGCAACTGGGTGTTGGCTGTGGATCTGGAAGATGAGATAGAGAGACTTCTGTTGGACCCCTTGGACTTGTAGTGTGAGAACCGCAGGCAAATTGGACGAAAACCCAATTTCCCCCATACTTGTGAAAACCCAACCAAACCCACAGCCTGCCTGGAAGACTGTCTCTAGGAACCCTTTGGCGGATCTTCTCACGCAAGTGGAATATTTCTCCAGGCTCTGCTTGGGATGAACTAATCTCTGGAGACATGGTCACCCCAGAGGGCTCTGCCCTGTCAGAGACATTGATCATCCCATGCATCTATCAGACAAGGTTATTAGTTTAGGATCTTCTCCGCCCACTGAGCTGTGCAAAGGTATTACATGGAGTCTTGGGCAGTGACCAGAGAGGTAAAGAGCTATCGCGGGTGATTATCTTTTCTAATCCCAGTGAACTCCCTGACATCACCTATTTTAGAAAGCAGTAGCCTCATTCTGGGAAGAGAGGGCCCCTTCTGAAGAGCTGGGAGCATTTCAGACATTCCTCACTTGGCTTGGCCTCCCAGTCAGGGGGTGTGGGGACAAGTGTTTACTTTCCCACCTCACAGAGGCCCTCAGAGCTTCAGAGGTGGGTTAAAGGCACATAAAAAGGTATTGCAACCCCTCTTGACCACCAACCCCATGCTCTGTCTACAAAATATTACACTACTACAAACTTCCTATCCCAGAGATAGGAGACAGAATAGACCGTAGGTGCTGGAAAAGGCGGAGTTCCGGCCCAGACATAAACTTGGGTCCTATAAATGAACCAACTCTTTGGGGATCATGGGATAGGCTTGGTGGGGAGAGGGTGCTCACCTTAGCCCCCTCCCCGTGGCTTGTTCACATGGCGCTCTTGGGGGGCAAACAACCCAGCACTAATGAATATATCACTGACGATGAAAACGATCAAAGCTGTGTCCCAGTTGCATAACTCGTTTGTGGAAAGTGTTTCATAAACATTTCACAAGAAGGAGAATTTCAAAGCATGAACATCTCCCAACCTGCCTTCAATTACAGGCAAGATTTTTTTTTTCCTTTCTCCCCCCTGCTTTTCCCTAGCAGTGAGGAAGTTTCTGTTTTGTAACTGATCTCTGAAGGGCTGGCAAACGTGTTGCTCATGAAAATATCCTAAAAATATATTCTATGCGGTAGGATGGGGCAGGCAGGTAGTTCACCTCAGGTGAACAGGGCTGAAGGGTCCCTCAAGAGATGTTGGCTGTATTTCCTCTTCTTTTTCCACGGTTCTTGGCTTCTTCCCATGAGTCCAAGACTCCTGCCTCTTTGGATGCCTTGAGGAAGTGCCTGGAGACATGGCCTCATCCAGCTCTGGTCTCTAGTCAGCCCTACAACAGGCCAGCCCAGATGCGCCTTTGCCAGGCACAATGCCATCTTCTCCCTGACTGCAAGCAACTTCTAGGCAAGAGAGGGGTGGAAGTGAGGAGATCCGGGGCCCTCTAATAAACATATAGCTTCTTTGGAGGCTTGGGGTCACTTGGAGTGGCTTCCTCCGAAAAAGAAGCTCTCTGAAGAGGCATTTCATTTCCCCTGCTTGCACCTACTCTGGAAACACAACAAGCTTATCAGTCATGTTATTTAACGCCTTGGCTTTAGTTCTTAGGACACAGCATTGCTAGTGCTGACATACGCATGAAAAACCCCATCATTTGAAGCCCATAAAAGTTTTCTTCTCCCTCTGGCACATAGGTCTCTGAATTCAGGTTTACAGAGTCTGGGAAGGTGCTGCAGCCTCACTGAAGACATATCATCACAAATGTTTCATGGAAGCAGGACTGGAACAGCTTAACCTCTGCACTATTCTCCAGCCCCTCCCAAGACACCATCAGCTTCTGGACGGGAGGCTGATCCTGTTAGAGTAAGAGTCCCATGGTTCCTTTTCTCCTGGTATCTACCTGGATGACAAGATCACAGAGCTACCTGCTCTGGCTATTTGGCTAGGGATTTGTTGCCCATAGAACTGCTGAATTGTCCATTCTGACCCCAAAGAAGTGAAATAGCAGGGGGAAGGGGTGGTGGCAGTGGGGGGAAGAAATGTTGAGCATGACCTTTGAATTAAAGTCTGAAAACTATCTCAGAGCCCACTGTTCAGGGAAACTGGTGTGAGAATGCG